TATCTTACACTTGTGCAGTTTTAGATTAATATGTCATCTTGCGACAACATCCAGTAATGTTATTATCATGTTGTAAATTTTGAATTTACTAGGTGGAGGTTAATGCAAAAATTACAACATGATAACTATAGATTTCACGATATTATGCTGTTGGTGGTGGTGGGGGGGGGGGGGGCAGAAGGAATCCTTTTTGCTTCTGGGCTTCTTACTGGGTTTGGTCAATCACCATCATGTTGGTATCCGCAGCGAGTCTCTTAATTTCGAGTACGTCTGTTCTTGTGTTAACGGTTTCTATTACAATATCTTTTTTTTAACAAGGTAGAGCTATTTACCCTATTCCCAACCCCCAAAGTGGATGGATAATTAGGTTCGTCTTGTGCGACCGATGGTTAAACCACTCAACCGAATTCAGTTTTCCTTCTCATGAACGAGCTACAGACCAAGGACTAAGTTTGACCTTGTAGCACAGCCTGGATCCTTGCAGTATCCAGTTTGACATTTGACCTTGTAGTAAAGCCTGGATCCTTGCAGTATCCAGTTTGACATTTGACCTTGTAGTACAGCCTGGATCCTTGCAGTATCCAGTTTGACTTTTGACCTTGTAGCACAATCTGAATCCTTGCAAAATCCAGTTTGACATTTGACCTTGTAGTACAACCTTTAACCTTGCAAAATCTAGTATTAATATGTCGCCATAGGGACTTGGGACTTGTTGTGGAGAGGCCTATGCACTTGGCTTTCCTTTTTTAATGTTAAACGGGCATTGGGTTAATGTAAATGTATAGTAAAAGCCCCTTTAGATATATATATATATATATATATATATATATATATATACACCACACACACACACACACACACACACACACACATATATTTATTTACATTTGCAAATATTTTTCTTAGATGAACCTATTGAAGAGAAAATATGTTCAATTCTGTATGAACTTATTTGGGGGTCAGAGGTCATGGCATGACCGAATCACACAGCGCGATGATATCTGTCTACATATTTCTGTCACGGTGACACTGGTTTCGGAACTTCTAACCCGTTAAAGCGATGAAAAAGATAAAATTATTGGAACATATATGTTTTTCTTCGTTCAACAAATGATCATTTGTTCTTTCTTCGATGCGAAGAAAGCCTAAAATCACGCTTACCTTTTTAACCCAAAATCCCTCTGAAGGTATGTAAACGGAAGACGATAGCACCGCTTTTGACTTCATATATAAAGAACTCATACAATAATAGTAAGATTATTGTCAGTAGCGATCATTGTTTTGCATTAGGAACAGATATTTCCTGAACTGGACTGCTGAACATCAATGTAAGTATTCAAATGTTGGAGCGAGGCGAACTCTCAAGACCAAACAGCTTCTAGGTCATTACGCGTCACAACGTAGCAATACGGCGGGCCGTTCGTGTAATAAATGCAGTTCTTTTCAGAATATTTGTCTCAAATGTAAATAAAAGTAATAAACAACAATGTTAAAAAGTTCACTGGGAAATGAACTTGGTTGGTACGTGATCAAATCTTCTGAGAAGCCCTTCGGGCTTCACAGGATTTGATCACGTGACCAACCAAGTTCATTTCCCAGAGAACTTTTTAACATTGTTGTTTATTTCTTAAATATATATTAACTCTCTGTGTCCGTGTACTGCTATACTATAGCCAGCTTTGAAGAATGGGAGCGAGAGTAATAAAGCACGCCAGCATATTAGACGCATCACACAATAGTGACACACTCTATACTCTTTGTTATAAATTAGAGAAGTATTGAGGTGAATAGCAATAACCTAAAAATATTTTATTGATTATTTACATTTGCAAATATTTTTCTTAGATGAACCTATTGAAGAGAAAATATGTTCAATTCTGTATGAACTTATTAGGGGGTCAGAGGTCATGGCGTGACCGAATCACACAGCGAGACGATATCTTGTCTACATATTTCTGTCACAGTGACACTGGTTTCGGAACTTCTAAGCCGTTAAAGCGATGAAAAAGATAAAATATTTGAAACATATTTATTTTTGCGTTCAACAAATGATCATTAAATCTTTCTTCGGTGTGAAGAATGTTTCTAATTAACCTAAAATCACGCTTACCTTTTTAACCCGAAATTCCTTTGAAGGTATGTAAACTGAAGACGATAGCACCGCTTTTGACTCCATATATAAAGAACTCATACAATAATAATAAGATTATTCCCAGTAGCGATCATTGTTTTTTTCATTATGAACAGATATTTCCTGAACTGGACTGCTGAACATCAATGTAAGTATTCAAATGTTGGAGCGAGGTGAACTCTCAAGACCAAACAGCTTCTAGGTCATTGCGCGTCACAACATAGCAATACGACGGGCCGTTCGTGTAATAAATGCAGTTCTTTTCAGAATATTCGTCTCAAATGTAAATAAAAGTAATAAACAACAATGTTAAAAAGTTCACTGGGAAATGAACTTGGTTGGTACGTGATCAAATCTTCTGAGAAGCCCTTCGGGCTTCACAGGATTTGATCACATGACCAACCAAGTTCATTTCCCAGAGAACTTTTTAACATTGTTGTTTATTTCTTAAATGATTTTCTTTGAATTTTGAATTTGTAAAGTGTTCCAAACCTAGTTCGGCATATTATCAAACAAATTAAATTAAATTGCTTTGAAGCTTCCTATTTATTCGTACAGAATAATTTTGTGAAATTCCAATATTTTGGCATCTTCTGCCTTTTTTAATCATATGTCATATATCATTGAATAAATTAAAAGGATCGGGAAAAGTTCAACTTATTGGTTCCCCTCCTTAAATTATTATTATAATATGTCATGCAAAATAGTTCATAGAAATATGAATTTTATAGGAAATACAAGTGGAATTATGTTGTATAACACTGCGAATTCAAAGCTACAGGTTTCATCAATAAATTTGTGGACAGCAGCAAAAATAATGTTATTAATCTGTAAAAACAAATTTACATCTCCCCATAATTTGTGTCAACTTTGGCTGAGTCCTCAAGCATAAACAAGCAGTTAAGCATTTGAGTATACTTTTTACAAACAAAAAAGAAATGATTTGCCACATGAACAAAAAGGACTATTGATAATATTTCGTTTGTGTAGATCAAAGCTGAGTATACAATTTTGTCTGAATTATGTTTGTATAATGTTTACCAAATGAAAAATGTTAACTTCTGTAGTTAATTTTTTACGAAATGAATTGAGTATGATGACTTTTCTCGCTTCTATCTTTAATAAATTCCATTGTTTCACAGCATCTGGTATAAAATTCTAATCTGCATCTTGGAGCAGTGAATTGGTCCTTATAACGGGTATTGTATGTTGATTATTTTTCACTCGTGTGTGGGACAATATCACTCAAGTATTCAGGTACTCCATCATTGTGAATTTTGTACAAGATAGTCATTTTTACGACATAGCGTCTAAAATTTAAAGTTTCCCAGTCAGTTTAGAGTAAAGTATATCTTTTTAAAACACAGAAATTGGAAGTCCTTTCACAATTTTAGCTGTAAATTGTTGAACTTTTTCAAGCTTTTTCGGTATCTTGGTTAGAACAGCCATCAAACACCTGAAGCGTATTCCAGCAAAGGTTTGATAAACATATGCTGATACATACTCAGGATGAGAACTATTCAACTTGACGTAGTTTGCATATCAAGAATTTTAAAATTTCATTGAATTTCAGTTTTTGACACTATTTGTAGTAGACCAAATAATTGTATTTGTAACAGTATTATGGCAATTTTGCAAAATTTTGCATAAGAAGAGTACGTTTTAGGTCAATGAAATTATATTTATTTCAATAAAATAACCATACTTTCCCGTGTACTTCATAGCAGTCAGATTTTACACTTCTGGTAATCTCCCCTATAACCGAAGGTTCCGATCTCTCCTCCTTTTGAAAGAGGGCATTTAGAGGACTGAAAGAGGGGAGAAGCGAAACACGTGGTTAGTGATGTACAAATGCATGTACAGTGTACAGTAACACTGGTCAATCGGTTTAATGATTCCTGACCCCACCTCTGTTTCCCAAAGGATTTTCTGAGATACTAAATTCATAGCTGTAGTAGAGTAACCCATTTTTTGTGTCGAACAATTTTAGATTTTTTTATGCCTAGCACACCCCCACCCCACCCCAACCCTGAAAAATTCCTAGATTCGTCCTTGTCAATACAAAAAAGATGTGTTCATTTTTGAATAAAACAAAATCAGCTTTAACATTGGCTTAAGGTCAAGATCTAGTAAATGACTTTAGACTAACTTTTTGGTGCTAGATCCATTATGACGTCATAATCAATTATAACTTTCTTTTTCCCGTACTTTACGGCTCTAATAGAGTTATGTAGAAAATAAAGTATTTTCGTGGAATTCAATTTGAAATCATGTGAAAAGTAATCCCGATACCTATATTCAATTTAATATCATTTTAAAGAAGAGGTCAAGAACATACAAATTATCGTTTTCTGAGAGACTGTAGGCAATCTTGATACATTTCCTTTGTCTGATATGGAAAAAACTCCCGTATTCATGACTGGTTTTCTTAATTTTTCATTGAAAATATTCAGTTTAAAATATGATTTTTTGTCTTGTTCATCTACAAATTATTCCCCGAAACACCTATTTGACCAAGCTAAAGTTATAAAGCATCATTAAAGGAATTTATTTCTCAAATTTGAGAAACCTGTAGGCACCTTTCATTTACTAGATCTTGACCTTAACCAAATGTTAACGATGACTTAAGCTTTTACTTGATCTACTTGATCTCCAGCCGAGTTGTAAAATTTATTATGAAATCATTCCTTTATTTTTTTTTTATAATCATTGAAGTAACCAACAAAATAACCTAGAATATTTTTTTATTACTTAATTATCTCTCTTTTTTTTAAATTCAATACTGTTTTCTTTAAAATTTTGACTGATTTTCTAACTATCCAGTCGAAAGAGTTATCTTTCTTTAAACATACAGCGGTTACCTCCCGTAATTTATTGTTTACACTCGCTAGAGTGCGCGTTGAAGTTATAGAACGATGGTCTGCTACTTCAGTCTCTGAAATGGAAATTTAATGATCAACGGGGTTTTCACATTCTCAACATAAAATGAGGTAATATTTGCATGCCTTTAAAGTAATATCCTATTCCTTCCTGCATATAACCGAATTCTTCAGTTAACTTCAGTGGTTTTGTAGAACGTAAATATTTGGCAGGATTATAAAGATCTAGGCTGCTTTGTGAATCATTGTTTTATTCCCTGAATCAAAATGTATCGGTTTTTTTTTTTTGAAAGAATGGTCATTCATTTCAAATGACTTCTTTATCACATGGAGTTTCGTTTTACTACATATCATATTATTTTTTGGTCAATTTCAATACAAAAAAAATGTGCAAGAGGTGTTCTATGAAATATGTATGTGTAGCCTCATTGATCCATCAGTATTGAAACTTCCTCTGTTGGGCCTTTATCATAAGACGGCTCAATAAAATATGTATGGCATGTTTTTGAAATGGTGACACATATGGACGATGCTTGGAAGTGGAGACGACTATTCTGAGAATTCCTTTATGAAGACATTTATGCACTCAGTTACTTGATCTGACTAAATCAAAATTTATCTGATATATATAATGAGTACTATAAGTATGTATAATACTGGAAGGTTAAATACTCTTTGTTTAATGTTAAGATTAATTTTGGATAAATTATACAAGGAACATCAATACATATGAAGAATAAATAAATGTCAAAACACAAGTAATATATGTTTGAAGCTGTACAAATTTTATGGGATGATGTAGGATGCCCTAATTGCTTCATACTTTGCATTAGATGGTAAAGTTTGAATGGGGAACTCTAAGAGGCTCTTTAAGTCTTGCACTAGATGTGTATTACATATTTCAGTGAACTAAATCAAGAATGAAAATATCCCAATTGTTCTGTCAAAGTGTCAGTTTCTGACAATTAGTAATTCTGACTTCTCAGTACTCCTCTAATGTCTTCTGTCACTTTCCATAAGTCATCAAAGACCCGGTAGAAATCTTAAATTTATGATTGTAATGGAAACACGTAACATCCTTCCCCCTTGAATCATTAATTATGTGAAGACTATACATAAGATTTCATCAAGCCTGTGTAGATGTTCCTTGTGAATTTTATGTATGTAGAATTTATGAAATTATACCTTTTTTAGTTCTAATAATCCTTGCTTATTATTTTATGTCTTGTGATGGTCATAGAAAGAAGTGATATGGATGTTTCAAATGTTTTAACTAGCATTGTTATTTTTGGAATGCAAAGCTTTATATATCTGTATAAACTTTGTTACTATCTGATAGTCTCTTTATGCCGAGGCTATTGAACTATAACTTGATCACCTTTGCATTTAAATTACCTTAAGCAGAAAAAGAAACAATTCATATGTCAAGGGGTAAAAATTTATGGCATGTACATGTCTTATATGTACACATAACCCAACGTGAATTTCCTTGTTAATTTTAAAGTTCTGATATACAAACTGAGGAAAATGGCTAAAAGTACTAACTGTATGTATAGTAAGTGTATATATCTTTTTTTTGCAGTTTCATTGTGTTTAGTGCTTTATTTTTGTGTGCATGTGCATGAATTAAAGGTGATCCATCTGTTATTTCAAGTGAAAAAAATTACCCTTTGATTTCTTACTTTGCCGTTACCTGTCATTTTAAGCAGCATTTTGCAATTTGAAACACTTTCTTTTAAAATTTTTAAATTAGTGAACATTATGAATCAATGTACAAATGTGTAAATTTTTGAAAACTGCAATGAAAAGTTGCTAATCACATTATAAGAATTTCCAAAATCCAGGTGTGTTTTTCCTTGATCTTATCATCTGTTAACTGCTGATACATTTTGTCTGAATGATGAATACTAAAAGGTGATGATACATTTGTATGGGAGGAATTTATTTTATTTGTCACCATTTTCTTTGTGATTTCACACAGACAAAACTCTTGATTAAACATTCAGTACATAAATTGGCTTCAAGTATTAGTGTTTACTTGCATGTTAGTTGACAGGTGTTCTTTATCAAAAACTTAACATCTTTTGGGTTTTTTTTCACTGAGAGAGATTACTTATTACTGGACCTCTATTATTATAGATTCATGTTTTGAGAATACTGGTTCATGTTCAGAGGATTCTAAGGAAATTGGTTCTACATGTATTGCTCTGAGGGTACTTGAGCAGCCACAATGCAAGGATGTCCAAGGCAAAAGACAAGACCATTCGCCCTCAGTACTACAACATGACATATAGCAGTAGTTGTAAGTATAACTTGACCTAGTTTTAAAATTTAAAATTTGATTATTGTTTGTTGTCTAAAGCAAAAGATTTATTTTATCAAGTCCTTCTTGTCACAATTTATGTCTGCCTGAATTAGAAGGATAGCTGATTTTTTTAAAATGGGAACGTGATTAAAAAATTCTTTCAATAAGTTTTAGTTATATCATATTTCCTGTCACTTATTTTTTTTGAGGTGGCTGTTCTGAGATAACAAAGAAGCTATTTTAAAATTATGCCTTAGCATGCAATACAAAAATGAAAGTACAAATTCAGTGTGGAATGAATGTTTTTGATTCATAATCTCAAAATTCTTTTATGAAAATTTACCTGACTGCAAAACTTAACTGAAAATTATCAATCAGAAAAATTTAGGAGATTAAGGAAATACTTATATTGGCTGTCTTTAGTCAGTTCTTCAAAGGACTTTTTTGCCAAAGAACTTAGCAAAAAAGTGGAAAGATATGTTGAAAAAGGTTTTTGTAGCTCAGTTATATTTTTGCTTCAAGATTTTTTTACCTTCCTTTTGTGGTCTAATGCTTGAGATGGTCTGAAAAGGTTGATATTACATGTAAGAGATACATATAGATTTGGTTGATGATGGAAATTAAGCGGTCCCCAGTCAGTGGTCAGTGTGGTGGCTATCTGTCCCCCCTGACAGCTAGGTATGAGCAGTGATGATGGTCAAGTAAATGTTATGGTCATCTGGTCTGACTCATTGGTCAGCTATCTACATACAGCCAGGAGGAATTATGTGTAGGTGTGACCATGTTCTTACATATCCTTATCTACCTGTCTGACCTAAAGAAGCTGATTTGTGTTTTTGATAATTGATAATGAATCTATAAATGTTCAGTTTATTAGCATAGGAAAGCTCTAGGATGGTGGTTTCAATGTCATAAAGTGTACAGCATAGCAGAAAACCCTGTGTGTATGATTCACCAATGTATTGATCCGTTTACAGTTTATAAATGAGGTGTTTTCTGCTTTTTCACCAACATTTTCTTAGTTTGTCCTGAAATTAGATTATAATGATTGAAACATATTGATATGTTCTTTTTAGAAAACAGTGTGATGAACAAGTGAAATGTCACATCAAACAGGATTTATAAGTCAAATCATCTTACAGAAAAGTTTGCAGTAGTATCACATTCATACTTAAATGCTTGTAACTTCAGTACAAAAGTTGATTTTATGAAAAATATGCCTTGCTATAAGGAGGTTGGCTATGATGAGTTTGAGCAGCTATTAAGATAAAGCACTTCTCCTTCCTTGATATGATTAGATTACATTACATGATGAATGAGGACTGACATGTTTAGCCCAGGCTTAAATTAACAGCACAAAAGTGAGAAATTCAAGGGTAGAGACCTGCAAGGGAGACATATTTTTTTTCCTAAGGTATACGTGTTTATATAAAAATGCAGCCATCCATTGTGCTCACGATTTCTGTTCCAGGTCAGTGAAGAGCACTTGCTTCAACAAGAAAATTTTGATAAAGTACATCCTCATTCTTAAAAAAAAACACAAAGCACAGGATAATATGAGTGAGATATTAATAGTTTACTTACTATCTTTCAAAAACAGGAATGACTTTCTAAGCTAAAGTCCAAGTGTAATTAGGTTTTCTGTTTCAAACGATAATGAGTAATCAAACCTATGAATAAAAAGTTTACAGTCATAACACCAATAAAATCAATGCTCTCTATAAATTTAAATTTTGAGGGCAGTCACAGGAAATTACATGGGGAAGCTCTGGTTTAATCATTGAAATAGATTATTCAACATGTATGTAAACAATATGACAGTGTGTTCCCATATAGGGTCAGAATAAAAGGAAGTAGATAGGAAAGGAAGTAGATTATTTTATGGTGGCATAGAGGGGCATTGTGCAGGCTTTGTAGGCCAACCATCGTTATCATGACTGCATAGTCTTTACCTGTGTCAACACTCTTACTGCGACATTTAAAAAAAAGGGGAGAGAGGGATTTTATGTTTGTGTCGGTCAACAATAACCTGAGGTGTAAGTGTATAAGTTCATCCAATCGTAGCTGTAAGGCGGAAGTTGTCATATTTAGTCAGACTGTGGACAGGACTGAGCTGTTGTTTTTTTATCACTGCTGATCAACAAAAACTCCTAATAACTAATCTACAGTAGTAGTTGTTTGTGAAATTTAATAGCTGTGTATTCAGTGTGATTTCTGGATTATGATCAGTACAGGCTGATATAGTACATCCCACTGAGGAAACAAAGAACAAAAATATTCATGTCATAATTAAGGAAGAGTGTCCTCAATTTGGGCCATGGACTGTTAGAGAGTTCAAGCAGTTGTCTTCAAATTATCTGAAAGTGGAGGAATCCAAGAATTTTTTTTATCCTGCTCTCTACTGAAGTCAAACAGCAAATGAAAGAACAGAGGCAACATGCAGCAAGGTGTCAATTCACAAAACATGATGAACAGTGAATAATCAATCATCCATCCTCTAAAAACATTCCTAAACCTAAGAGAAGTGTCTTACAGCTTTTTCCTGTATTGGATAATTTTGTAAAGGGTTTTTTCTTCCTATCTGTGCACTTGGTTGACAACAGAGTGTGTTTAAGGAGATACAGTGACCTCAGTGTTTGTAATTTTTTGTTGTTGTGTGAAGGGAGTGGTCACAGGGGGGAGACAATGTTTAGGGTGACTGGGGATGATGAGGGGGAGGGAGATGACAAAAGACATGATTATATCACTGTACTTGCAGATGGAGGGGAAAGCAAGCCACTACCCACATGGAAAACCTACTGTAAGTATATGATTCATTACTTATTATGTTGATATAAAGTTTTATTGTGCATGATTCATGCATTTTGTACATGACATTTACTACATGTATATATAAACCACTTTGTAAATAAAGAAGAATGAATACTTATGGTGTTCTAAAGATGCAACAGTGTTTTAATAAACACCTGCTTCTCAAATTGCATTTTAAAAGTTTGCAAAACCTCCAGGTAGTGCTAAAGACATAAAACCACCCATACTCTACAATGTTTCCTCAATAAATGCATGCCAGTGCATAAAATGAAGTGTAACTATTTGGAAGTGAGAGTATAGTTGTATGCTGGGTGATATATTTTATTTGGCAAGGTATCTGACTCATTCAGAGAGGAATAGAATACTTGAAGGTTTTAGAGAAAAAATGACTAATAGCACACAACAGAACCAGATGTTTTCTTCAAGAATTTCTGTTCGACATCCATAAAGTGTAGATGGACTGACATTTACCATGACCAGAAACAAATAAATTCACATGTACATTTTTGCAAACTGTATCATTTTCTGAAAGACAGTTTACTCTTTTCTCTCCTAGCATCTGCGTCAAAAATGTTAACTAAGCATGACAGAATTTTCTTTCTCTGTTTTATAAAAAACAAAAATTGACAGGAAGGTTGTGAGAACCATATTGTGTATTTGAGCTATTTTACATTTCCGCCACTTTCTGAAATTGTGTAGCACCCTTGAAAATGTTTTGAATTATATGTGTAGTATGATTTTCAAAGTCATGATACTAAACTGTATTTAGATACAACACCTTAGTTGATTTTCCAGACTGCTTTTGTGGGTCTTTTGACAGTGGAAACTACTAACTACTGTTATTACTTTGTACTAAGTTTCTGAACATTTTTTCAAATTTATTTTTGTTTCTTGAAGTATAAATCAGGGATCAAGGTTATATTTTTCATTTCCGTTGTGACAGTCAAAAGTTATGTCACTGTTAGCCCTTGCATCATTTGCATTTATCAACACCATCTCCAATATATTATGTAATTTTCTTGTAGAAGCGTATTAGAAATCCAAAAAGAGTTAATAGATCTATAATGCATACAGGAAATGTCTGAAATACCCAATACCAGAACAAACTTTAAAAGACATTTTGCATTGTCAAGCTCCTCATTGTTGGAGAGTATTTCATTGAAAAGAAAAAAAAAATGTATTGGCCCAATGGGACTGGACTCAATTTCAAGGTCTGTTTCACCTGAATTGAATGTTCAGATAAACAATTGTCTGTTTCAGTTATTATTTTTCTACAATTATTATTTTTCTACAATTGGTTCTCCACAACCACAGATGTATTAATTCAACCAAAACTGGTGAAAATGAGAAAGGGTTTGTATATTTGTATATTATGTATTTTTTCTCTACATATCTATTTCTCCAAACCAAAGTCACCTAGGGTACCGCCAAAATATGTAATATCTTTTAGAAGTTTTTTGGCAAAGGTCATGTAAGCACCCAGATATGTAATAAATTCATGATGGGATAAGGGATGCACTACCACAATGGAAATGTATCTCTGTGTAAAAGCATTCTAATAAATGGAGCACTTGTCATTATTTTAAATAAATTTCCTGGACTTTTTACTTATTTTCCAAAAAAAAAAGAAAAGAAAAAACCCCCAAGTTTGGTCAGTGAATCTGTATCTAGGTCATAATTGACCACTACAACCTATTATGTGGTCCCTGGACAGTCATACGCCTATCACTTGTCTGTTCTTTTGAGCACCTAGCTGACTTGAGTGCCAAGGTTGTAGTGTCTTATGAAAAGACTAAACCGGGATTGCATTATTGTCAAAAAGGAAGAAATAACACAAAAAATAAGGAATTATACTAATTGTTGGTGTCTTATTTTGAACAAATATGTATTATCCACTTATGGTGCTATCCAGTACAGGCTGAATTTCTTTTCACTAGTGTCATATTACTATCATCCTTGATGCTAAAGTACAGATTCATAAAGTGGTTACATGTATTTTACTTTCATTGTACTTTGAATATAGGCTATGTCATCTGAGTTTAGGGTTATTTTTTCATGTTTTATATGCATTTTATAAATACATGTGTAATCTATTTAATCTGATACTTGATATGATAAGATTATTCTTCATTTGACAGTATACACCTTACAACTCCAAGCACCAAAACCAAAGAAAATTGTTTGTCAGCGTGAGGCAAGTCTGACTTCAAATTTCACACTAACCTCTAGATATAGGTCCTTTTTCTACACCATTGCTTAAGTATTACATTCAGAACAGAATTAACCAGTTTGTCATGTGAGAGAAATGGATAATGATAACTTATTAGTGAATGTGATGAATTATCTATAAATAGTTACAATATACACTTCCTGAAATGTTGAATTTCAATTTTAGTCAATGAAAAATTTATCAATTTACTGACTCAGAAATTGCACAACAGGATCCAATTTAAAATTTAAATGATATGTATCTAGTTTTTTTTTTTTTTAAAAAAAAAAAAGATAATATTTTGATGAAAAATTTTCATTTCAGATCCCTGGAAAGCCTTCATTTTATGGAAAAGAGTGAGTTTTGAATGCTTTTAATGTTAAAGTGTCCTGTGCATGCATAGAGAAATAAGATGTATAAAGATAAGTAATGCAGAAACAATTATTAACAGGTGGTCTCATTTATCCCACAGAAAAAGAATTTTCAAAGAACTTGGATATTTCAACACTTTGGGCTCAAAATGAAATATGAAAGTTACTAACAATCTGAAGTTGTTAATTGGATGTTCACATTTCTGATTTAATCAATGTCTTTTTCTTGCTTTATCAGATTCCATGGCAACATAACACGAGAAGAAGCAGATGTCCTGTTGTCCTCGGAGGGGGACGGGGGTTACCTGGTGAGGAAGAGTGAGAGAGCAGCAGATGCCTATACCCTAGCTATAAGGTAAATTCCACAAATCTCTCAAAAGCTGATGCCTGTACCCTAGCTATATAAAGGTAAATTCCAAAAATCTCTGTAAAGCATATGCCTATACCCTAGCTATATAAAGGTAAATTCCAAAAATCTCTCAAAAGCTGATGCCTATACCCTAGCTATATAAAGGTAAATTCCAAAAATCTCTCAAAAGCTGATGCCTATACCCTAGCTATATAAAGGTAAATTCCAAAAATCTCTCAAAAGCTGATGCCTATACCCTAGCTATACAAAGGTAAATTCCAAAAATCTCTTAAAAGCTGATGCCTATACCCTAGCTATATAAAGGTAAATTCCAAAAATCTCTTAAAAGCTGATGCCTATACCCTAGCTATTTAAAGGTTAATTCCAAAAATCTCTCAAAAGCTGATGCCTCTACCCTAGCTATATAAAGGTAAATTCCAAAAATCTCTCAAAAGCTGATGCCTATACCCTAGCTATATAAAGGTAAATTCCAAAAATCTCTCAAAAGCTGATGCCTATACCCTAGCTATATAAAGGTAAATTCCAAAAATCTCTCAAAAGAGCAAGAGAGCAGCTGATGCCTTTACCTAGCTATAAGGTTAATTCCACAAATCTCTGAACCCCTGTTCTCTCCTTACTTAAACTGAAGTGAAAGAGTACCTGCTGTCATCTTTTTTAGGCTAAGTGCAAAAAAGAACACATTATGCCTTCATTGTACTATCAGATAAATAAAACATAGATTTTAAATTTTTGTTGTCATGTGAAGACGATTTTTAAAAAAAGATCTCTATCTATTGGGTAGATTGAAAGTGATGCTTTCATCTTTATACACTATTAAATCGGCTAAGTAAAGACACGTGTTGTAGTTCATAAAAGAGCACTGTATTGTCAAATCTTAATAGTTTACAGATACATATGTATTTGTGTCACAATGTGAATGTTAGGAAAAAAATTCTCTAAACTGAAGTTAAATTTTTTTTTTTAATTTAATATAGCTGTTTAAATATCTAAATACATACCGGGATATATATTATATATCTTGTTTTGTCTTGGGCATGAAAGATGGATTTCTTTAAACTCTGCTCACAAAATGTAGTACATGTAGTTAAAAGTTCTATTTTTTCCCTTGATTTTGCTCTGGAAATTCCCAACAAAGATCACCTCAAGTTGAATATGTAATACACGTACATGCAATATTAGTTTCCGATTTCTCCTGTTCGTGTACACTGCTCTAGGCACTTGACATTTACACAGAGAGAGAGGCACTTGAATTGTGTTTTATACACACATGACCCTTAGTTTTATCACATTATCTTGGTAGAGGCACATATCATGTACTAATGATAGGAAGTTGATACTATTTTATATGTGAAGTACATGTACTTGTAACATATTCTGTATCATTGATGTATTAAGGTCTGATTAATTCAAGAATCAAATTGAGGAATTGATTTTATTTCCCCCAATCATTATAAAGCTCTATGGATTTTTTTTTTGCCTTATAAGGAATAAAAAATATGAGAATGAGTTACTATCTGTCGAGTAGGAGGCTCTGTAAAGGGCAATGGATTACTGTGTATCCTAAAGAAAAAATCATTTTAGTACTAAGTAGGGATTTTGGTACATACATTTATTACTAAGGAATTACTCCAATTATGAGGTCGTAAATCCTTTGCATTATGTGTATTAATTTGCATGAATGGGTACGCTGTTTATGTATGAATTATGATATCAGGTACTCATGTGTGTCCTTTGTGCTGTACATGTGTACTTTTTCAACTGTTAAGTCTATTTCTTGTGTAAAATTGAGAAAAAGGGCATAATATAAGACACTGTGACTTTGTGTATATGAGTTTATATATACTGTAATAAGATTAAACGGGTTCCTCTTAGAGTGCAAAACAGTAAATGTAAAATAAAGTTTTTACACTTTCAGAGTATTTTTGCTCATGTAAATGTATTCATTAAACAATTTATTGTTCAATGCATGTACCGTAAATTAAGGGCTGGATTTTTATTTCATAGAGACAAAGACTTGATTGGAAAGTTATACTTCCAATTTTTGCTCTTAAGTTCTGCATTGAAATTTGAAGGACTGTTTCCATTCAATAACTTCCTGATATTCAGTAATATATTGTACCAAAGTCTGCATGCCTTGCCCATATGCATCAGAGGTCAGGAAAGTAACATTTAAAAACCAGGAGTGGAATTGATTCCACGTACCGGTAATTGAGTTTTATTAATTAATTAATATGCACCAAGTGCAATTTCTTGCAAATTGATATTTTTGTTTTGAAAGGCGTAAACTTGTTACATTAGTTAATTCCCTGTCTAAACGGCAGTGTTTCCTGATATTCACAGCAGCATCTGGAACAAGTTGTTTCCTCCAGAGGTTTATTTTTATTCCAAATTAACAAAACATTAGGGGATTTGCTCTGCTATGTAAGAGAGAGTGCCTGATTTAGAGGTGCTTTATTAGTTCACACTAGTAACAGTGAAAACAACAAAGATAACTATCTGTAATATGCATGGGTACACACTAGGATGTTGTGTCATAATGTCTGCATGTAATGAATATTTTTCTTTAGTGTCTTTTACATTTAATCATAATTTGTTTTAGTATTGATTACTTTGCACATAAAACCATAAAATTGTACTGTAAAGTTTGTGTTCTATATGGTGTTAGGTACTGGTAACCCAAATAGCAGAACATAAGCTCATATAATTTTGTATGAAAATGGGCAGGAGGACATTTGGAAATATTCTGCTTGTTTCCTCTATTCTGAAAATTTTAGAAAAAAATCAGGCATAATTGTTTAAAATAGGTACAGAAGAGCAATCTACCTGTATAATTCTAAAAAAAAAAAAAAATTGGATTGGTAGGTAGGTGCCATATATACTCGCCTATAAGTCGGTTGTATTTTTTGAGGTTAGTTTTGAGGAATTTGCCATTGACCCGCTTATAAGTCGGTACAACTTTTTGCCAGAATCGGTTGACAAATTCAAATCAATGCTCTGATCTTTTAACCTGGTTTCAATTGACATTTTAAGAAATGACACCCCACATGTAATTTTAAATCATTAAAATAATAAGAAATACACACTTGAGATAACAATAAAGTTATGAAACTATGTAAATACTTGTACTTTAACATGTGTTAATGCATAATCTTAGAATACATAAATGATATAAAATGTCCAGATAATTGTCAGAAATTTTTAGAAAATACTATATTTCGCCCTCCAGAAAAATACCAATCTCGCCTATATGTCGGACATAGAGTTTTGGACCAAAATTTAACTCCCAAAAAAATCGACTTATAGGCGAGTATATACGGTAAGTAATTTTTTTTTCCAGAAATTTTGAACATCAAAGCTTAATTTTCAAAATTTATTGAAATTGATGGTATAAATAAAATTTAAATAGTTGTTGACAGGATGAGAAAATTCTTGAACAAGTTTTTAAAAAAAAAATTAAGTCATTGTTTCTGGAGGTTTTAAAAAAAAAGTTTGAGTCAGGTCGTTTTTAGTTGGTCAGTAGAGGGCAAACAGACAATTGTTTAAGATGGTCTCATACTTTATTTTACATTACAGATTTGACAACCAAACCAAAAACTATAAGCTATACTATGATGGACAGCATTATGTTGGGGATAAACGGTTTGACACTGTCCATGATTTGGTGGCTGATGGACTTATCCACTTTTATGTAGAACTCAAAGCTGCAGATTACATCGCCTCTTTGTCAAATGAGTCAAATTATGCAGAATCTCCATACTTGGCATATACGGACAAACGTAAACGCCTTCATCGCTCTAGGAGATCTGCAAACAGTAAGCGGCTGGAATTCGGGGATCAGGCAGCTGAGGGAATCAGTGGGAGTACCAATGGTAGTGTACCCCAACAGGTAAGGGATCAGTATCAATACAAATTAGAGTACAGCAACAATTGAGTGACTAAAAAGCAGTCTAATATCAAGTCAAAGTAGAATGTAACAAGTAAGGGAAATTCTCAAAAAAGTATATGATAGCAAGGATTAGGTAGGGACATCTCAAAAGTAACAAATGTGGAGGCATGATGCAGCAGTATACTTATATGTAGTAATGGGTGAAAGGCATCTCAGAATGTTGCTCAGAGTTATTGGTGCATATCAGTGCTTCCATTGAAAAGGTCATTAATTGCTAAATTTTGAAAACTGATTGTTATATTTACTTTAAGACAATAAATAATCATATTTTTAAAAAAAATTTCCAAAGTTTTATTCAAGATAATGATTTTTAAAATGTTTCTTGTATTTCAGTATTTAGATGATGAGATCGATAGTGTAGATGATGTGGAGAAATATGAAAAAGCTCACAATTTTAAAGTGAGTAGTCTTGTACACTTCAGTATTTTTAGGGCATTGTAATTATATCATTTTGATTTCAGTGTGTAATTAATTTAATTAATATTAAGGACTGAATTTAATAGCTACCCTTTTTATAGGGTATAAAACTGGGTTGGGGCAGTTTATGCTCTATAAACCACTTCACAATTTATTAAAAAAAAAAACATAAACTGTTCCAACTCGTATAAATTGGGTAGCTATTAAATTCATTCCTTATAATTTAATTTTCATTCATTTAGTGTAGGAAAATAAGATGATTGCTCTTAAAAATGACTTCAAATTGTACAAAAATTTAAATGTAAAGTCAGGTGGATCAATACATTTTTGACACAAGTCATTGTGACATGGACAACAGAGTTTATTCGATATAAAGTAAATTTTTCATCAAATCAAATTGTGCTTTACAAACAGAATTAAATTATTAATATTTATATGACAACTTTAAATATATGAAAACTTTGGATTTGCAGACCCAGAATTTCATTGGCTTACACTGGTGTGACTTCTGTGCCAACTTTATGTGGGGTCTTATTGCCCAGGGAGTAAAATGCTTAGGTATGGAATTGAATTTAAAAGATTATAACAATAATTTTAAGCTTTTCAGTGAAAATAATTTTTATGTAAGGCATGAAACTATAAAGCAGTTTTACAACGTATTGTGTTCTAGTACTTGTATAAATGTTGTAAAGATACATTTTTGGTTTGTAAAAAAAACTATGCCAGTTCTCAATACATGAGATATTTCATGAAAAATCTTGAAAAATTAAAAGATCCGGAAATAGTCTGTACTGCGTTATTTTGCTCCAGGTAAATTTTGCATTTTCCAATCAAATCAAAACCATTTTTGCTCCAACTTGAATTTTGGCTTTCTTTCCCTTTTATTGATTGATTATTCACATCTGTTAGTTTACTGTCAGTCAAGATTTAATTCAGACCTTGTTAAATTTGGACCATGCAATAAGGTTCCTCAATTATAAATCTAAAACACAATGAATCTAATATTTTGTTTACAATGTTTGTTTTTTTTTTTTAAATTTCCTTTTAATTTTAGAATTTTAATTTATTTATTTGTTTGTATCATAACCCTATAAATATCTACAATAGTTATGAAGTTAGTAAAATCCTGAACTTTATTTATTTGATCCCATCTTTCTGTACTGTATCAGTACATGTACTTTGATTGTTGTATTCCTCTATCATGAAAATAGTGAACATAAAACTGCACCAATATTAGACTACATGCAATGCATGTAACAGTTAGTGATTTTTGATGATAATATGATAATGAAGATCCTTCGTTTTACTGCAGACTGTGGTTTTGAAGCCCACAAAAAGTGCTCAGAAAAAGTGCCAAATGACTGCATGCCTGATATCAAGTTTGTCAAGAACCTATTTGGTGCTGATCTGACAACTGTAGTGAAAGCCAGGAACACACCGGTGCCTGTGGTGGTGGAAAAATGCATTAAGGAGATTGAACGCAGAGGTGAGTTATAGTGAAAAATCCATGTGAAAGTGATATGGAAGTTAGAAAGGTAATGCATCTAAGAAAAAAAAATACAGAGTTGTAGAAAAGACAATTTTAAATTTTATATGGCACATGTTCAATATATCTGTTGAGAAAAACATCAATTTAATATAATTCTGCTAAAATAAAGCAAAAATATAGCAAAACGAGAAATAATGTTTTCAATAAAGTTTGTTCAAAGCAAACAACCTTATTTCAATTAACTTCACATGATATCCCTGTTTTAAAGTTGAAAAAGTAAGTTTGACCACCTTTGAAGATGAGCTATTTAGATGTTGAATATCTGTAACAGTAGCCAGTAATACATCAGAGATTTATTTCTTTGAGCAGGTGTTGAAGCGGAGGGATTATACAGGATAGCTGGTCTCCATGATGAGGTAGAGAGTATCCGAATGGCATTTGACAAAGGTAATATTCTACACAAGGAGTCAATGCAGCAGCAGCCCATGGTTCAAAAAAGTCTGATTTAAAATGTTTACATCATTTAAAATTTTAAAATTTATTTGACCATTATGATTTCATTTCAGATGGAGAGAATACAGTGATAAGTGAGGCAAAATATGACGATATAAACAGTATTACTAGTGTTCTCAAGCTGTACTTCAGGCTTCTCCCTATCCCCCTTATCACATTTGAAGCCTATAAAATCATCATAGACACCATGAGTAAGTTACATCACACAATGATTTATTGAATTGTTAATGACAGTGCTTAGTTCAGACCAAAAGTATGATGGTAAAAGAAATAAAGATAATGATAAAGAAATAATCTGTGACTAAGTGTTCATCTTGTGTTATAATTGTCTGCACTTTTTCCCCCAGAACAAGATGAGCCTCGCTCAAGGACCCAAATAATAAGGATAAAGGAGGGACTGACTAAACTACCCCCAGCACATTACCAAACCCTGAGATTTTTATTAGCTCATCTGAACAGGTTTGTGAATTGCCAGTATTTCCCCAGTACCAGGATATCTTTTCCTTCAGATTTGATTGATTCATGTATTTTTATTATTTTTTTGTAAAGGGGGGAGGAAAGGGGGGGGGGGGGTCATACATGTATTTGCTATGTTTATGTATGTGTTGGTGTGACATATATACATGTATTGCATTAAATATGTGTAGAAGGTGTTTTATCTAAAGTGATTCAGCATACAAAGTGGTTAATGGGTTTTAGCATTCACAAGAATATACATGTTAGTGAACTTGTTATGTGTGTATGGTTGTTTTATTTCATAGTATGCAATATGAAAACTGGTTGGGTTTTTTTTTTTGGGGGGGGGGGGGGGGGGGGATATGGTTCACATGTATAATATTAATTAATATGATCACAAAAACATCAATGAGGTTTAATAAATTAAATTTAGAGAAAAAGAAGGTGAGGTTGGAGATCGTTATATTAGATACTTGTTATATTAGAATGCTACGGCAACATTTATAACAAAGAAATGATAGGGAAACTTTATCCCTGTAGGGTAACTGAGAAGAAACCTGTGAACATGATGGGACCAGACAACCTGGCCATTGTTTTTGCTCCAACACTGATGCGATGTCCTGAGCCTGATCCAATGATGAGTCTAATGAATGCACAATTTGAACAAAAAGCTCTAGAGACAATGCTTGTAAAGTTCCGTGACCTGTTCTCAAGAATGAGTACGACTCAGAATTTTGAAGCAAGTGGCAAAAGACCTAGTTTTGATGCTCTTCGAATATCCGATCAACCTCATTTTGATAAAGTCTGAGTTTTCTCATGATGTATGAGTGAATTTTCTTGGTTTTAGCAGTCCTCTCATTTATATAGATTTTGCAGCTGTGTGTTGCTTAATACCTCACATGTTCATATATTAAAATGAGTACTTGAGGCTCTAAGTGTCAAAGTACAATTTGCATTTTGTATTTAGCTGAATTAATGTATAATCTTTAAAATTTTATTTTAAAATGTGGTTTGTTTTGTAGATATTGTGTAGTACTGTTGGTATGACAGTTGCAAAAAATACATGCATATTTATAAGTATTGCATACATGCTCATGGAACATTCATTTAAATGTATTTCAAAACCCACATTCTGGTAAATTTTGAATTTGAGTTTGATAGCAAGCTTAAAAACTTAGTGATTTACTTCAATTTTAGTGGGTTTTTTTTTCTTTTTTTGTTGTTGTTAGTCTGTGTTTTGACTTGCTGTCACACTAATTGACCACCCTACAGGTTGTAGTGTACCAATACATTTACTTATAGCCCATAGTTTGTAAAATTCATGGCATAATACACATATTAAAATTCATTGAATGACTGGGACAACTTCCCTTAATATTTAGAACTTATAGCAGTATAATTATATAAGATATACATTGTGTGACATATATTATGCTATTCATTTAATCGATTTCTTAAAGATTCTGAAGCATTTTCTTTTTGAATTGCAGGTTTAAAAATAATATTAATGATTAATGAACTTGTGAAAGAAATACAAACACAGAGATTAAGGTCAGAATTTGAGATTTGTTTTTAAATATGGATGCAATTCTAAGCTAGAATATAGACTTTGATACAGTGGATCATGGCCCAGTGGTCATAAAGGTTTGACAGCATTCTTATTTCGTCTAATTTAATCCAGTGTTGATGCCAGATTTGTGTCCCTGGATAAAGCACATATTTGCAGTAATGCCACAGTCCACTTTAAAGCTATGGTTGAATGTGTAACAACAAAATCAATTTTTTCCACAGCCTTAGGCCTCCTTAAAATTTTATTGAAATTCATTCATGACGTTCTATGTTAAGGATTTACAAGTACCACTAAAATGTCCTCTGTAAAAAAAATTTGTGAAAGATGAATCTAGGCTACATTGTTATTTGAGAGAAATCCTGCTGCATATCATAAAATTTTGCCTCATCACATTGTTACTGTGTACCAATTCACCTGTTTTTATTTTAGCATTTTTTTTTTTAAATTGTTTTCCTGGAAGTGTACTTTTTACCAATTCCTGTTGCACCAGGAGTGCTATGTAATGTATACTGTTAGAATTGTTTGGGGGGAAAAGTGCTGTTTAGTATCAGTAGATGTTCATTACTTATATGTTAATAGTCCCTATGAAGAAAGCAAGTTAAAACCACTTCATTTCAGTGTATAGGGGAATACTTAATATTGTTCTTTCACATTTTGAGTTTTTAATGTACTGTGTAAATGTAAACCTTTGTATAATTTTTTAATTTTTTTTTAACTAAACTCAATAAATGTGAATCAAATTTCAGCATGCTTCCAATTGCTTTTTCTACATGTATATCACACTGAAAATAGTAGGTATATGTACAGTAAATAGTAAAGTATTTATCTTCAAAAGCCATTTTATTAGGGCCCTGCAAGGATGTACGAGTGCCCTATATAGTAATCACTGTATGTTAGACATTCTCTGTGGTCACAGATTTTCTTTTTTTTTTCCCCAATATACCTTTTATGATAGTCCAGTTATGTTCCAATTTGATTGTCATTTCAGTTGGTTAAGGATATCCGCACCTCGGCCAGGAAGGATAACTCTTAAAATTATTATTTAATTTAAGAAGTCTCAAAATTAAGCTTGAAATTGAATTTTTTTCATTTTATGCATCTTAATATGATTCAAGGTTATTTTGAAGTCTTAAAAACAGTCTTGTAAAAAGTTGACATTTGTACCCCATAAAAGTAAAAAATAAAAAATACAATTTTAGGGAAATCGAGCTTCCTTTAATCTAGCCTTAAATACCAATGTTTATCAGTATGATGTGAAATAAGAAGAAATCTGTGATGTTTTACAATGATAGCAGAAACGTTTTACACTATGTATAATATAACAGTTGAAGTAAAAAGAAGAGCTGAAGTACCATATAAGTATAAAAAAAACGTGCAACTTTCTCAAAATGCCTGGATACCTTTAATTTTTTTAATCGTAAAACATATTTGTTGATCAATTTTTAATTAGAAAATGTATAGCGGGTGCATTTATTCATGTTTCCTGAAAATATATTCAAGATTTTATAATTTTTACTATATAATATGATTAACTATAATGAAATACCATGGGTTAATACACATTAATTTGAGAATCCAGAAACATTTTTGTGAGCATTTTTAATTACCCAACTCCTGATTTTCATAACCTGAAGATTGGACTACCTTAAGATAAATTTGATACCAAGATTGATTGAGGAAGATGTTTGCATTCAATGAAGGCTGGCACATGAAATGTATATTCCTTCTGGTTCAGAATGATATGTAATGGTCTGGGCCATGGATATTGACCTGGGTAGCTCAGGGGTTGGGGCATCTGACAAATGGTCCTGGGTTCGATTCCTGGTACAACCATACATTTTCTCCTTTCTTGTTACATAACTTGATGCCATTGACCACCCCTGGACTTGTAAAAGTCTTGCCAGTGACAATAAGAACTTGGGTTGTGTCTTTGAGAGTGAAGAAAATTTAAAGACGGAGGATGTGATTGTTTGGGCTGTCGATATTGGCCTGGGTAGCTCAGTGGTTTATAGAGCACCTGACAAGTGATACAGGGGTCTCCAGCAATATATTTTCTCCTGTGCTGTTATAGATAATTCTAAGAAATTGTTTAAAAATAGCTATAATTAAAGATAAGATTGTTATGCCCCATCATGAAACTGATACATTACTAGTATTGGTGTGACATAATTTTCTGACCTTAACCTTTCCTGTGACCTTGACATCATTATTCCCTATTTTGCATTTAGCTCAAAGTAACTGTTATTTCCTTTGACCTCAACCCCACTTTTTATTTTGCATATACCGGTAGATTCAGAGAAATTGTTCCAGTTTTCATCAAACTTCAAACACTAATACAAATTTGTGTGAGCTATTCAACTGTGTCATAATGTTCTGACCTTGACCTTCCCTATGACCTTAACTTTACTTTTCAAGATATTTTTACTAATCAAATTTTATAGTTACTTATTAGAGCAATTAAACTCCATCATATTTTTTTAACCTTCTCGTGACCTTGAAAGTCACTTTTGAAGAATTATTTAATCAAATATATACAAAGATAAATATGGTATGACAGCAATTCAACTGTGTCATTTTTTTCTTACCTTGACATTTCCAATGACCTTGACCTGAACTATTCCTTCATTTTGTAGTTCCTTATAAAGTTTCACAGAGTGTTCAAGATTTTTTCATCAGACTTTGACTACTGATACAAATTGATAATTGCAATGAACTGTGTCATAATTTTCTGACCATGGTCTTTCTTTCCCCAACACCTTGAAGAATTATGCACACTAGCTCTCGATTCCTGCCTGCATTTTTTCATCCATTTAATTCAATATAAATGGCAATTTGTCCATTAAAACTTGTTTGAATGCAAAGTCTATGTCGATTGGTCGGTATGTGGGTACACCAAGTGTAATCTTGGAACCCTTTGCTTGACAGTCATCAAACTTGGTACACTGGTACCCTGTGAAGAGATGACCCCTATTGATTTTGAGGTCACAAGGTCAAATAACTACATGTACATGCATAAATTTTGAACAATGTATCAAATGAGTTAATGAAAACAGCTCAATCTTTAAAGAGAACAGAACTCGTAATATATATATATGTAAGCAATTTATTGCAAAATTAAGCGTTAACAAAGTATACAGTTTTAAAAATTGATCGAAGCATAAATTAGTATAATTTTTCAGTCCTACAACCTTGGGATTCAACACAACCGATACTGCAAGGAGTGGACAAATATTTCCCTTCACTTTATAACAACCACATTCACAGTAAACCCAATATAAATTCATCATTCCTGACAAATAGACAATCCTTCATTTTTTTAAACAACAATTTTATAAATATTTCTGTGTATAAAAACAAAAAATTCCTATCAATAATTTCCTTTGAGCTTCATTTGAAAAACAGGGAAAAATAAACTAACAAAGTGATCACAAGAGAAGATGGAATGGTACAGAAGAAAGAAAACAAATAACAGAGCAAGATAATGCCATACTGGCCTGAGGATACCACTCGCTCATCAGTTAAATAGTCAAATCCACGGGCTGGAGTTGAAATGTTCTAATTCAACTTGATTAAGCATGCTGTTAAAGACAACCTAGCTTTTCAAGTTATTTTAATACACGTAGATAGCTATTAACTAGCTCTTAAAGTTATTTAAATACATGTAGATTGTAATTGCACTTATTTTTAATAGTTTACAATTAAAATTCTACCATTAAAAGTCGGTACATGTTCATAGATTATCTCAACACACCACTAACAATATCATATATATGTATTAGTATTAAAATGGAAATGTTATGAAAAGTCATATATTATGGAACAAAGAAAATGGACAACCTATCATTTACATGTGTGATAAAATATCACTGAAGAGAGAATTCATTCATAGAGCAACAGAAAATCACAAATATTATATAGAAAATTATATATCATAAATTACATAAATCTAAGTCTCAAATTCACAACCAAACAGAATAATACCTATCCTCAAAAATGTAAGAAAATAATCTCTTCTAAAAATAAGGAACATAAAGTGAAAAAAAAATACATTTTAAAAATTACTCCACATAATTGGATTATTTCAGAATTATTTATCTACTACAGCTGTACTAAGGCAGTGTTTCCTTTTATGTAAAAAAAAAAAAAAATAAAATGCTTATACAAGATGAACTAACAAGCACAGATTAAGCATGAATTAACATATAAATTTTTATTTTTAAAAAAAATCATATTACTATTACTAAAAATTTCTCTACAAATATGTTGCATACAAAATTATATTAGAAATTATGAGAGAAAACTAAATAGTCATTTTAAGAGTGCCTTCATTTTAATTCTATCTACCTGTGCATAAGAAATGAAAATGTAAGCTAAATTCTATCCATAAATGATTTTTTTAAAAAATATTTATGCATATTCTTGATCAATGTACAATGTACATTATGTTTATGAAAATATCACTGTGCAAAATCAAAATTACAAAAAATTGTTGGTGATTTGCTTGGACTGAAATGACACTAGAACAATTAATTTAGAAAGAAAGAAAACCCATACTCTATTTTTCCTTTCTTTTTTTTTGAGACCTGTAATGAAATCAAATAGACATTTCAAATACGGTTTCATTTAGTACATGTTACTTATTTGAAATTGCACAGTGATCAACATAAAAAAAATTCTTGCATCAATCTACAGAAGAAACTCTAATAATACAACAAATTTGTTCAATTTTGACTTTTAAACTGCACCACAGTTTCTTCTCATTAACTTGCATATAGCACTAATTACTTAAATCAGCACCTGGTGCATACAAACTGTCCTCACTGTGTTTTGTCCTCACTGTGTTTTTATCGTGTATACAGTATCAGAATAACACATACATTATCATGATTACAGAGAACATGATCCTAACTGGATTGACTTAACCATTCAAAAGCTGCCTCCTCAACAAATCTTAAAAATTTAGAATATAGCAACCTAATTTAACAACGCCCAAAATACATATATAATGCAAAAGGTGCATAACAGATCTTGTCCTGTTCTTTTATAAACAGCACTTATCAGGTCCTCCTTTTCTTTATACTCTCTATTTACTGGTACTTTACTTTTTTAATAAATGGTTTTCACTAGTCGTCATCTTCACTGAGGTAGGGGTTGGAGATCATCTTGATTATGGTTTTCATCATTGCAGCAGCAGCCAGCGAGGCATAGGGTTGCCATTCCTTATTTTTAGATCCATCATTATAATCTGATATTCCTCTAATAAACATGAAGCTGTCCTTTCTATTGCCTACGATGGATTCTATAACCTGGTCATATTCGCAATCAAAGCAGGTGATGCCATAGTTGACGGCAAACTCTAGCCTAGTGTTGTCGTATTTTGTGATTGGTCTGCCTGATCCCAACACTCCAAACCTGACCGTGGGTGCATCCTCCCTCCCCTGAGCTTCTTCTGGTTGATCTGGATGCTGAACTTCAATGACATTCTCCTCCCCTATGGACATGTAGAGTCTATCTGACTCTTTGGGGGGCCTGTTGAAATCGGCCTCTTGTTTCTCCAGCAGTTCTTGCCCTTCCTTGATGTAGCGTTCCCATGGTGCTTTTTCAGGATGTCGGGTACACCTTTCCTCAAGTTTTTCAGCCAGACGCTGCAATGACATATCTCGAGGAGACCATGTCCTCATTTTGTACTGAATATTGCCCTCTTTGTCTTGCAGGATTTGGTCCACATGATAGTAGAAGTATCCCTTGTCATTACAACGAGATAACACAATGTCTCCCAGTCTGACATGCTTGTAGAAGTTTGTGTAATGTGGTACCCCTCCTGCTACTCCCACCACAAACACATGCTCTATATTCTGGAATGTACCTGCACAACAATAAATTCATCCATTTTTTCATGAAGTTACAGATTCACAAGCCACTTTTGACTTACTGGAACATATAGAGGACATTGATATTTGCTAATGATTGTCAACTTGTTAAAAGCTTTGAAATGATGGAAGTATAAATTTTCCTTATTGTAAGTGACTTACCAAGCAACCTAGTGGTGGTGTTGCCAGATGAGATTTGAGCTGCTCTGGACTGTCCAATTCGTGGGAGTTTGGTTGATACACACTTGTGCTCCCCAATAAAACCTACTGTGTACACATTAGACTCTCCTACAACAGTAATCATATTGTTGTCAAAGTTAGCTGTTGTGGCATAAAATGTCAGATGGCACGACATATAGGGCTGTCATTGAGGAGTATTTAAAAGTAGAAACACCGAGAAATAATTTAATACTTATATAATTGCAATTCTTTCAAATACATACACACAAACAGACCTAAAAATATGTAAACTTAAGAATTCTGTTCATATGAAAAATTATGGAAATTTTTAACTGCAATAAACTTAATGCAGCCTTCATAGTCAGACATGTACAGCTACATAAAATCTCCAACATACATGTAGTTTAACAAAATGATCTCATAGTTAACAGCTAAATCCCCAAGAAAGTTATATTATAAGTGTTAGTTAAGTCTAGTCACTCTAACACTATTTCTTAAATTTGACCTGATTTTAATCAGTTCTTATTAAATTACAGGAAAAGACTTTTACTCTTTATTAATTAACTCATCAAAAATTGACTCTTCAAAAAAAAAAAAAAAATGTATCAATATCGCAAATTTCTAATGAATGAAAATAATCATACATCAAATTCCACCGATGAAAACCCTAGCAAAGCATTTCTAACTGTTCAAATTTATCCTTTTTTTAAAGCATAAAGCCAAGTCATTAATTTTCTTAACTTCCAGATCATTATAACACATACAGTAATACTGATTACACCTCTTTGTATACAAACCTTCTGTTTTGTACTTGACAAATGTAGTTTTGTTGTCCATCATGGCATCTACAGCCAGTTTTTCACAGTAGTTGGCAGTAATTATGGCAATGGTGGGCTGTTGGTTGGCAGCAATAGTAGGCATCTGTTTCACCAACTGTACCTCAGATTCTTTATGAAGATTGAAAATTCATTATCAATTTTCAGTTACTTTTATAAATACATGTATGAATGTTCCATGAGATCCACAGGCTACTATACTGATCAAAGTCATTTTTTTAATACTAATTGAGTAATAACTGTCATATATGTTGGGCCTCCTGATGTGGGCCTATTTTAAAACAGTGGTTCACACTTTGACTTAACTTCAATTTACTCTATGAAAATGACCCTGATTAAGGTCAATCCCATGAAAAAACCATATACACTACCCCCCCCCCCCCCCTCCCCATTTTTTTTTGCATTACATATAGATGTATTTCTTAAATCTTCAAAAACAATAATGTAAATAAATTCCTAATCGAAATATATTTCTGATATTCAATACATATCCACATGTACATACCAGTTTATGACCTTAAACAATTTTTGTAATATCAATTTCCTGTCAGATAAAATTTGTACTGCCCGTAAGTTTAAATGAACAATTCATAAATATTCAGGGCACTCTCAGAGTGAAAATAACATACCTGTTTTATCATCCTCCAAAACATGTCTTACAACTTTTCCATTCTCCATTTCTCTGACCAGATTTTTGGATTTCAGTTCATCCAGCTGTTGAGAAATCATTGCCTCATCTGCAGCTGTAATCCTGCAATAACAGAATATTAACAATCTTACTATTAAAAGTACTTAGGACTATCCCAGTAAAAAAAATATCTGAGGGGTGGAACAGCATTTTTTCACATCTGAGTAGGACATTTATTTTTCTAAGGAGTAGGTGCAGTTATCTCAGAGCTCTTGGTATGAATGTTGAGTTATCTGATAATACATCAAATGTTAAATAATTTCCTGCAAATTTGTAAAAACCTTCAAATCTATGAAACTTGATTTTTATTTTTAAGTAACATGCAAGAGTTCTCTTTCCAGAAATAATAGATAGAACTCTGAGTCACAGCAAATCCTGACCATGAAGTAGTTTTTACAAATTTACATCATTTACAGAAACCCCAACAATGAATAATCTCTTGGTAAAAAAATTTTTAAATGGAGCCATAGAAAAATCAAGCTGATCATGTAACTCTTAGAACCACCACCCTAACAGTAGTAGTGAATGAATGAAAAAAGAAAGTTGTCTTCTCCTTTGAAGTGAAATAGCCATCAGCATTTAACTGAATTTAAAGCAGAGCTCATACAGTACATGTAATTTATAATTTAGACCAACAGACAGAATGTTTTTTAGTGGACTTTTATATAGATCCTGTAGAATTTGCTGTATTTTGATCTCTTCACACCTGACTAGATCTTCCACCTCTAAGACATTAGGGTAGGCTGACTCTAAAACCTGCAGGATTTTTTCTCTGACAATCTCTTCTATTGGTCGTTTATCTTCCTTTGCTAGTCCTGTAAAAATATTCATCCATTATCAAAACATGCATGACATATCAGGTACAATATACCTTGTACATTATATAATCTTAAAATTTTCTTTTTTATGATAAATTCAGAAATGTAATTTATGTACAATGTATTGAAGTATGGTGAATAGAACATGAACAGCTTGTATAAATTTAACAATTAACCAGTACATCAACATGCTTAAACTGTTTGAACATCATTTTCACACCATGGAAAACACTAGCTCTATTCCTTTCATAGTTCCTCTTTTTGATGTTTAACAAGGCACAAAGGTTTAGGACTACCAGTAGCCCTATCACATTCCTTCATGCACTATACTGAACATTCTGGACCACCACATTTTGTTCACAATTCAAAATAAATATATCTCTGTATCTATATATCAAGAATTTTGTCTTTTTTTGAATCTCAAACAAGCAATACTAATGTCTTTCTCATTAACAATCAAAATTAATTTTGCAATTATATATTTCAAAACAACAGTCAAACTATAACTATTAGAAACACTAGTGAATTTTAATTATATCTACCTACACTTTAGCTAGGTATTAAACCAAAAGCAGATCTTGAACATGAAATTCAATCCATAAATTCTTCTTTACATTTAGGAAAAGTGGAAGACATTGAACAAAAACATAAATGAATATAATATACTAAGGATGTACAATAATACATGCTTATAGATAACATGCTCATAATGAATTGACACTTAACAGTGATTTCATTTCTTATGATTTTAAATATATTATGAACCTAATAGATATAATAATGAATTATGCTTATAATGAAGCAAAATCACCCGTCTCTGGCACTTCGTTATTATAAGCATGTTTTACTATACAAATCCCTAGCTTTAGAACAATAGGAACTGCTTGTGGTTTAATTGTTTTTTCCAAACTGAATTAGGAACAATCAACTCTGTTACACAGTTAGGTGGTCTGAACAACACTGTCACCACACCATCACTTACCAAAGTAATCGTCCACATTGGATCCTAGCGCAGAGAGTAAATAAATACAGGTCATATCAATTAACATGGTCAGAAAGAAAGTCATATAAGTTTATTATAAGTTAGAAAATCTGATTATTTGTTAGAATATAAATAAACTTGAAAGTATATGCTTAAGTTTTCCTACAATTTTTTTTCACTGCTAACTAAAATAACTGCTGTACATATATATGGAGAAAATGCTTTTCTACATAGATCATCTGCAACAAGACGTTTTTCTATAGGTCATGTGAAAAGTAACTTTCTACTGTATGTTTAGTAAGATATATAACTGTGGGTCTGACTTTTACTATTCCTAATATTGATAATCCCTCCCCCCTCCTTAAAAAATCCTGGGTCCCTCCACCTGCAGAACTGTAGCTCTTTGGAAAAAAAATATTGACAGACAGGAGAGCTATAGTGCTACCCACAGAAAAATCTGTATATTTATTGCACACAAAAAGTTGTGCTCGGTTCTGGATTTATTTTTCCAAATTCTTTCCTCAACTGCACAAAAGCTCAGTTTTAAAAAATTCCTGAGACCTCTATCAACTACTCTCCTAGTTGACGTCTGCATGAAGCATGTTGGACCCTAGAGTCTTGCCATCCAAATGGCAGTATAAACAGGTAAAATTTTCAATGGTCTCAATTTTAGGCCCAGGAGGGCTATTAACAACGGTTATAACGAATGCTTTGTTGTGGAAATAGTAAAAGAATTTGTTAGGAACACATGGTTATTAATATAGCAGTTTAAATATATGTAGAAATAAATTGAGAAACAGTGCTTTTTTTGTGTGTGCAATAAATATACACTTTTTTCAGTGGGTGGCACTGTAGCTCTCTGGTCATTCATCCTAATTTTTTCAACCAGTGAGCTTCAAATCTGCAGCAAGGATCCCTTTAACAATCTTATTCGCTTTTACAAATCATGAAACAATTTTTGAAATTAAATTTTTCCATAAAAATCAAAACACAATATCCTAAGTACTATTATTAAAGAACTGTTAGGAATTACATGCAAGTATTCTAATCATATTTTTAAGGATATGCAAGTTAAACAAAACTAATTAGGCCTACATACAAATGTGTGCTTTGAAATTCACTAGAAAATATAAAATCTACAATCAGTATAAACTTTACAGGTGCTTCATAACAAAGCATGTTCATTTTTTATTTGTCTATGTCGTATTTATTGTACAAAGTACATTAATAACTCATATTAATAAGTGAATAAATGAGGACCAAATTAATCAAAGATAACAATAATGTAAAAACCTGGTCAAATTAGTGAAAGTTATAGAAGGAGGGAAAAGTAAAGACCAAACCTGGAACAAAAAAAAAATTTAAAGCTGATTCATCACAACCACAATAATATAAAAAAAAATATATGACAACTAATCAAATTAGGATCCAATCTGAATTCACTCAAAATTCTCCATGCTTTTATTATGCAGCATACAGCTTTGTTTTTCTTCGTAATTTCTTCTACTAAATCAATATTCAGATAACTGCAATGCAGTGAGACAAAGCTACACTGAACTGTTGCATTACGACGACAATCAATGGCAATAAAATACTGAAGAGTCAAGAACACACAAACCCAGGGGCTTAAATCCTTATTCTGCAGGAAACCTGGCTACAGAGACCACATTATAACCAAAAAAAGTAGCCCCTGAGTTTATGGTTTTGCAAATCAATGTCATGCCACTATTTGCTGTGACATTAACATGCAGAGAACCCCAGTGAAATTTACAGATCAATAACACAGAAATGTAAGTGGCATTGAATTCCAAGTCAGAATATCCCCCATGGTTTTCAATGCATTTCCAGTTTTAGTTAATTAACAAATTATCCTTTAGCTACAGACCTGTCTTCACTGTGGTTATTCATTATCTTACCTACCCATCATTAGCATTTCTGGAGAAATGCCTGAACCTTGAAAAGTGACAGTGGACATATTAGAAAGTGATTATGTGTATACTGGAATTCTATATAAGATCACAAAATTTATGTGTGCTCCTTATGATCCTTATCCATACAAAAAAAATCTGGAAATGGTGGAGAGAGTGAATTATAAAGCAAGGAAATCTGTGTAACTAAAGTCTCCAGAGGAAAGAGAGAAAAACCCTCTGACATGCAAGACAAGAAATTCCACAAATCTACACATAATACATCCCTTCTGATTGTTATTTACCTTCTGAAAACAAATAAGTTTATACAGATTACTTGAAGAAATAAAAATATGACGGAATTACACAACCTGTCAAAACCCATGAATTTTTAAATCGCTTTAAGTATGATTAAAAATTTAAAACACATTTTGTTTTATATGCATTATGATATGCATTACTTCATGTTATTTTTTTTTATTGATATATACATGTAAGTGTTTCAGTTTACTGTTTTATTTATTTAGCTCCAATGTAAATGTGGTGATGATCTGGTAAAACATCACACAGACATGATATGACTGTTTACCTGGAGTTAATGGGGCCTCCTGTTCTGTGAGTTGTCGGATTTCAAGATCAATCTTTTTCGCCAGTTTGTACTCAGGCTTCTGCATCTGCTTCATGCATTTTTTAATAAAACCAACATAATCTGCAAGGTAATCAAATAAAATTCTCTTAAAATATCAAATTCAATGTCTTTGTATTGAGAGTTACTATGACATTTTTCTGATTTAAAAGACTTTTAATGTAATAATTTTTAACTATGACCGTTTTTTAAAGCCCTTTTTATTTACCTCTTGGGAAGTTAGCTGGCTGGACAAGCTCCTTAAAGAATTCATATGCAGTAGTTACTTGATCTAAGTAATCTGTATCATCTACGTACCAAAATTTCAGTCTTCGACTTTCCTACAAAATTATATAGATATTTTTAAGACTTATTCATGTAAAGACCTTTAAAAGTGTTAACATTTACAAAAACCCTATTTTGTGGTGAAAATGTCCAGTCTATGCGAAAGTCAGTAAAATTTGGTTCGGGTTGGTAAAAAAATTCAGGATACAGGACCGATTGTCCGATGAAAAATGAAAGCCTATAAAAATCTGAATTTAGATGTACATATGGTCTTATTGTCCACATATGGTACATATATGGTACATGTACATATGGTCCTATTATCCTTTATTTAATCCATTTAGCAGTAATGCATGTTTAATTTTAATCTATAAGAATCCTGTCATGATCGTTTATTTCTAACTCGAATTTCCTCTGTCATGGAATATAGATCCATAGATAGCTCATACATAGATTCGGTTGAGCGAAATTATTTTCATTATAGAACAAGAGTAACTGGATCTATTTGAGGTTCAATTTAGCAGTGAAAATCCCCCTCCTTTTTACAATCCCTGTATCATAATGATGTATGATTGAATTTAAAGAAAAAAAGGTTGGTCTGGTAAGTAAATGCTTGGTCTGGTAAAATATATATTTTTACCAGACCTTATGTCCTGTAAAAATTTTAGACTTTCGCATAGACTGAATTTCATTTAAAAAATCCATTTCATCCAAAAAATGAAATTAAAAAAAAGTTTCCTTAAAATATGATAATTAGGATAAGATTTTAGTTCTTACCACCACTCGTTTTTCTGTTTTCTGGTCGACAAGGAAGCAATTAAATCCAATCTGTAGCTGAGGTCGACCTAGATCTGTGTCATCTGGGATCTCTTTATTAATCACCAAACCTTTGTGCTGCCCCCCTGCCACGTGGACTGTTTGATCATCATTCAGCTCCAGCTTCTTGCGTTTCTCTATCCTAATGTGTGTTGTGTTCCCCTTCTTGGTGGGGGTCATTACAACTAAAGATACAAATTTTTATTCTACATCCAATGTATTTACTAGTCTTCAAGAAATCTACATAATCAGAGTCACAATTCATTTTTAAAAACTTCTTTTTTTAACGCTTTACCACACCAAATGTGTTTTGTTTTACTTCACAACAAAAGAAAATTGTGCATTATTTAATTTAACGATGAAAATAAGATATTTCTTACCTTCTTCATCAGACATTTTCAAACTGCTATAACCCCTAAAAAGCACCAAATAATAAAAGCAAGATAAATTTGCTGAAACAATAGGAAAATGTCAGATCATCTACCATCAATATTAATCTTTATTTTGACATCTTGTCTTCTTTTGTTATGGTTGGTTTGAGAGCAGTCACATTCAGACTCAGATTGAAAGCACAACTTTCAGGGCTCTTGACTGTCTTTAATCAGACTACTGAACAGCCCATTCCCAATGAAAAATAGGTACCCTTTTCCCAATAGTATTATTTTCCTAATTAGTAATGATAAAGACATAAAAACACTAGAAAACAAAAATGTGGTGTGTTTTATACAGTGTATATGTTGATTTTACCCAATGTTCCCCCAACACATCACTGATTTTTCAAATGACTGGGCCCTACCCCTGTACCAAAAGCAAATGATGACACTTTGTACAATTAAAAAGAAGTAGACATGCAAAAATATTTCCATAACTTTCCTGCTTGTCAGTCGCAGTCTAGAAGTTTGCTTGTCCACCTGGGCAGGTAATTTAAATGCTTGGAAAGTTTATGATGATTTTCTACCAATAAATAAAGTGTCTTTATTGCTTTTTTCTGTAGTTAAGAATTTTAAACTGAAAATGGTGAGAATCCAGAAATCAGAAGACTTGAAATTATACTCAGATGGTTAAAAATAATAAAAAGTATGGGTAAATTGGAAGGCAGGTCTGTAAAAAGTGTTTTTGAGAGATTGTCTTTATATTTAAAAAAAAATGTTGAGAAAAAGTGAATATTTCAACAGTTTTTGAAACAACTAGGGTTAAAAGTATGTACCAAATGCATCTAATAACCCCCCCCCCCCCCCAAAAAAAAAAAAATCACAAACACACACACACTGCAAATAAAAGTGTTGTTTGGTTAATCTTTAAAATTCATGACTTAAATTCTTTGTTAAAATTACATATGCAGCTTTCTAATGCGAGCTGTACATTGTTGCTATTTCCATCGAGCTCACCTGAAATACAGGTAAATAGTCTGAGGAAGTGACTCACGTCAACTGCACCCATTAGGGCTACTGTACCGATAAAGGCTCATCGACGATATTCTTACGTTTATTTCATTGCGTAAACATAAAAACTTGAGTTTGTTTATACATAGACTAACACAAAAAGGAGAGCATATTGCATATTTCTACACAAGTCATGAAAGTGTTCATACAGCAGTCTTCGGATAGCGCTACCTTGTCGTGGTTGTAAAGAATATACGTTTTTGTACCCAAAATGCTTCTGATAAGCATTCTCCTACATTATCTTACCTTTCCTATTCCAGTTTCATATGTTCTTATCTGTCTATCTCCGTAACTTTTTAATACAACACAACCCGCTTATCTTTTTACAGAGATGCCCCTCTGGCGTCGGCCATACTTGATACTACGATTGAGCATGCCCAGAGAATTTTTCGACATTATTCTTTGGCGGGAAATTTAAAATTAATAATTGATCAGTTTTGGTAAACTATTTAGTTGAACAAGCTACTGTTTTAAATAACTTTTTTAAAAAAAATTGTCATATATATATATATATATATATATATATATATATATATATATATATATATATATATATATATATATATATATATATATATATATATATATATATATATATATATATTCTTGTGTAAAACTCTCATTCCCTGTTGTGGCCTTAACCTCCCACATCATTCGTATAAAATAAAACAAAATAATCTGATGGGTGTACCGGTAATTATTTATAAGCAAGACAAGCAGGATGATCGGGGATCAACAAACTAATTTGTCTAATACTCAGTAAAAAATCTTTCAGTAGATCTATTTACTTGCCTGTACTTGCCCCCATCTGTCATTATCACACGCAAACTAAACAAACAATAGAGCATGAGCACTATTTAGTTAACTCTTCCCATTCCCTCAACATTGCGTTAATAAATTAGCCTCTCTCGGTCTATGAAGAATATTTAATGTACAAAGATAAGGTATTTTTGTTTAATTACTAAAAACTATGAAAGAATTTTTTGTATCTTACACCATAAAAATTCCTATATAATTCTCTTCTTCAATAGACCTCAGTTTCAATTACATTATTTACAGTCTGTAAATAAGCTGTCACCATAAGCGGAAAACACGCCATGGAGGTTACTCTCTGAATTATTTTTTTGTTTCTTGTTTGCTACACTTAGTAATGAACTTAAACATTATTTTCAGAATTCTTTGAAAAAAAAATCAGTTATTGGGCTTATACAAAACTACTATAAATAGAACGCGTGTCATATTCGTGTACATTACGTCCAATGAACCCTAACTCCGTCACCAGGGCCCTCTACAATATGTCAACGTACGTATTTTAAATTAGAATTTTTTCCAGTTTAGTATTCTTAAACTTGTAAACACAGAAAATTAGTTTTGAAGATTTAATATGGAACGCCACAGCTGTCTTAAGGGTAAAAAATATGCATCACAGTGTCAATTTTACATAACATTTATAGTATATCCTTTATATCACTAAGTCCACTTTATATAATATGTAGTCCATTCTTTATATCATAAAGTCCACTTTATATATTATGAAGTCTATTCTTTATATCATTAAGTCCACTTTATATGTTATGTAGTATATTCTTTATATCATTAAGTCCACTTTATATAATATGTAGTCCATTCTTTATATCATAAAGTCCACTTTATATATTATGAAGTCTATTCTTTATATCATTAAGTCCACATTATATGTTATGTAGTCTATTCTTTATAACATTAAGTCCACTTTATTATATTATGTATTCTATTCTTTATATCATTAAGTCTACTTTATATTTTATGTAGTACAGAAGCTTTACTATGCTGACAAATCAATGTACTACAAAGTCAGATTCATTTACATGCAGTCAAAAATACTATGCTGAAAGGACTTAGAGTACTCTGAAGCAATATTGTTTTTATACTTATTTTAGACAATTAATAATTTATACTTAGACAATTAATGCAACACTTGATTACTTTTGATAAGACAAATACTCGAAGGCAGTTAAGATCACCTGCATTCGAAAAATCATGTGGTTTTAAAACAGAAAAATAAAAAAGAATTTTCATCATCTTTGACCACTTGAGAACAAACAGACAGTTGTAAATACAATGTAGGTTAAGTACTTCAAGGAGAATCCCTTTTAAGCTCTTTGACGGGTCTCAGGAACAGGACAGGGCCAATTAGTTAACCTGAAATTTGTTTACTCTTAGTACTGAAGACTGATATAGAGTTTGAAGGTAAAATATTACCCAGCTTCTCGTTGAAGTGTGTTTCAAAAAATTACTGGTACAAAGTAAAGGGGCCAAACGGCTATTATATATGGTAGTATTAGGCTGTAGTGGTACCACCAAGTGGTGCCCAGGGCAGGGTACATACTTCAAGCAGCTGTTACACCCATTATCTTTGAAGTGTGTTTTTAACCATTACTGGGACAAGGTAGATGGTCCCTTGTGCTATCATTTCCCGCTATCAGAATGGGGCTGTAATGGTACTACCAAGTGATGCCAAGAGTGGAAGACATTTTTCCAGCATGCATTTTTCATTCCTCATTGGCCATATGAACAAGAGTTAAGGACATTAGGGAGTATGAAATATGCCTGTAACCTAAAGCTACACTTCCTGAAGGCCCAATCTGAAATCCTGAAGTGATAGTCATATAGGTCTTGAACTCTACTTCAGTCATATTATGCTTTGTGCATACTACAAAGACGAGAGGTCGCTTGAGTATTATTCAACAATTTGAAGCATCTATAGAAGTGTAAAATAAATCAAGATAAACTGAAAAAATGAAGGTATGTTGCCCAAAAGCCATCGTCTCAAGCCACGGTCCAGAGTCCACACACAGCTCTCTCCTACCCGTGGCTGCTTGATCACAAAAAGTGTCGTAATCTTGAATATTTACGCCTCTTTGTTATGACGTCATGTTCAGCCAATGACAGTACCATCGCAGTTGAAGTCAACAATTGACATCAACAGTAAATGATTGAGTGTTGAAAGGCCGCGTTAAAGTTCATTTTCCGACTATGTTTTACTCGCATTGGTCAATTTTTTAAATGAGGTACGAAATATTCTCTTCTCATTCAACCACGGCCAGAATGGGAGAGGATCGTACATTTTGGCAGTGGTTTGCAACGATGCACAAAAGCAAGAGAAAAAGAATGATCATTGATCAACAAAATAGTAAGAATAGTATTCAGTTACGAATTGTAAAGTAGATGTCTTTAATTTTTGGTACTTGCCAGTGCCTAATCTGAAATTGTATTTGTCACTTTATGCAAAATACATCACACAATCGTGCTTGATCAATGTAGTTAAACACAACATTCCCTCTAACATTGGCCTCTCAGAGTTTTGAATAACGAGCATTGCAATGTCTTACAGCTGCATGAATCCTATTTCTTAAAGTCTGAGTGGATATTTACAACCCATGATCATTCCTATATTTCCTAGGCCTATGCAAGACTTCGGCAGACATGGCCGATTGCGTTTTGCCAAGAGTAAATTTCATGCTCCTGACATGCCTGACGAGCTGTCGTACATTTTGGTCTGCCACTACGATGTCCCCCTCTGTAAAGTCCCGTGGTATTTTTTGTTTAAAAATTAAAGTCTTACACAAAATTTTATAACATTGAACTTTGACAGTTGTTCTCATTTTGAGAAGGGGATATTGTAAATATGCACATGGATTTGGTCAATCGGTAATCAGAGTTATGCAGATAAAAAAACAAAATGTACGTCAGCCACATACAAGTAATTCTTAAAACTCCTGTATTAAAAAAATAAATAAGGACTTAATTCCATGACCCTTCACTTTTTTAGGTCACCTAAGTCACTCAGGTGACCTGTTGCTATCCGTTCTCGTCCGTCGGCGTGCGTCATGCGTTGTGTGTTAACATTTGAACATTTTTAGCTTCTTTTCTGAAACCGCTCAACCAATTTCAACCAAATTTGGCATATAGCATCTATGGGTGAAAGGGAACAAAAATTGTGAATTTCATGGTCCCTGCCCCTCTGGGGCCTGAGGGGTGGGGCTAAAACAACCAAAAATAATGCAATCTTTAAAAATCTTCTTCTTTACTCCTGGACATAAAGCAGTCAAACTGTTTGCATCATTGTAATAAGCATTGAGTCCTCTACCAAAATTGTGAAATTCATGGCCCCAGGATCAAAGGTTCTGGCCCCAGGGTGGGGCTATATAGATCATATAGTGAAAGTGCATTATTTCTTTGAAAATCTTCTTCTCTGCTCCTGGGTATTAAATTAAGTAACTAAGTACACAGTTATAAAGAGCAAGGGTGCCTCTTCCAAAATTGTGAAATTCATGGCCCCAGGGTCAGGGGTTCTGGTGCTAGGGCGGGGCTCTATTGATTATATATTGAAAATGCATTATTTCTTTGAAAATCTTCTTCTCTGCTCCTGGGTATTAAATAAAGTAACTAAGTACATAGTTATGATGAGCAAGAGTGCTTCTTCCAAAATTGTGAAATTCATGGCCCCAGGGTCAGGGGTTCTGGTGTAAGGGCGGGGCTCTATTGATTATATAGTGAAAATGCATTAATTCTTTGAAAATCTTCTCTGCTCCTGTGTATTAAATAAAGTAACCAAGTACATAGTTACGATGAGCAAGAATGCTTCTTCCAAAATTGTGAATTTCATGGCCCCAGGGTCAGGGGTTCTGGTGTTAGGGCGGGACTCTATTGATTATATAGTGAAAATGCATTAATTCTTTGAAAATCTTCTTCTCTGCTCCTGGGTATTAAATAAAGTAACTAAGTACATATTTATGATGAGCAAGAGTGCCTCTTCCAAAATTGTGAATTTCATGGCCCCAGGGTCAGGGGTTCTGGTGTTAGGGCGGGGCTCTATTGATTATATAGTGAAAAATGCATTAATTTCTTGAAAATCTTCTTCTCCCTGCTCCTGGGTATTAAATTAAGTAACTAAGTACATATTTATGATGAGCAAGAGTGCCTCTTCCAAAATTGTGAAATTCATGGCCCCAGGGTCAGGGGCTCTTGTGTTAGGGCGGGGCTCTATTGATTATATAGTGAAAAATGCATTAATTCTTTGAAAATCTTCTTCTCCCTGCTCCTGGATATTTAATAGAGTAAGTAAGTACATAGTTATGATGAGCAAGAGTACCTCTTCCAAAATTGTGAATTTCATGGCCCCAGGGTCAGGGGTTCTGGTGCTAGGACCGGGCTCTATTGATTATATAGTGAAAATGCATTAATTCTTTGAAAATCTTCTTCTCTGCTCCTGGGTATTAAATAAAGTAACTAAGTACATAGTTATGATGAGCAAGAGTGCCTCTTCCAAAATTGTGAAATTCATGGCCCCAGGGTCAGGGGCTCTGGTGTTA